CTTCTTTTTTTTTAGTGGTTTCCAAATATACTTCCACCCCAAGAATGAGAAGCTTGCAATAGGCAGTCTAGTTGCAGGCTTTTCTTGCTACTGACTTTTAATTTCTCCTCTTTCCCAAGTGAAAGCAGTCTCCTGCCACAGTGTTTCAACTTGGTACTGCACTGACAAGTACGTGCTGTCTTGCGGGTGTTGTTTTGGTTTGGTTGGGGCTGTGCTTATTTTCCAGTAGATAAGTGTTTAACCTTTCACATCTCAGTGTACCTGCAAAATGAAGCAGTTTGCTGTTGATACCTGTTCCTGTTAATAGATGTGGAGTGCACAGCACACCAACAGCCTCAGCCAGGCTTCAGTCTTGGGTGGCTGCATAGTAAGTATATGTATAGAAATGCAGGCTGCCTGTAGAAAAATCTCTACTATGTGAACAGGGAATTTGGTGCTAAGTGTTATTTCAGTACTGCTCAGGACATATTTACATATCTATATGTGTAGCTTTTTTATTGGTGTCTTCACAAAAATGTTTCTAGGTACAGGCACCGGTGTTTTAAGATCTTGGCCAAGCTGGGAAGTTTCAACAGAGTTATTCAAAAGTAGTAAAACTATAGATGGTTAAATATAAAGATATAGATAGTATAAAGTGATAATAAAAAAATCTCTTGATTAGATTGCTCCATACTGTGCTTGTGTTCTAAATAATATTTAAAAAGGTGAATGTTTTAGTGGATAGTTTTTTGAGTTTGAAAACCGGTATTTTGCTTTCTAGGCAAGATTTGGCAGAGAGCCTTTATCTATAATACAAGGAATCTGAACTTACTTATTTATTTGATTTATGCATAATCAACTCTAGCTGGCCTTGAAAATACCATGCTGTTGTTTATATGACCTCTTATTCAGAAACATGCAGTCTTTGGGCAGGCATACTCATGGGGACTTAATAAATGGCTTCAAAACATGGTTTTCAATGCCTGTGCCTCACGCAGTGGGAGGCAGTGCTGAAGTGTTGCTTGCAAAGAGCAAAGCAGTACATCCAACTCGGAGCTGGGCCTCCCCCTTATCAGGGCAGCTCCAGGTCATGTCCTGGCTTTATCAGCCCTGGCACAGTTCAC